AGGACGTCGGCGGCGTTTCCCGAGATGCCGCCGACGAAGCCCGCGGCCGAGGCCATGGCGACGAGGACGGGGAAGGAGGGGGGTTTGCCGTCGTTTGCGCGGGTGGCGCGGATCTTCATCTCCTCGTAGGCGCCGAAGCGGACGGTGGAGTAGGTCATCTGGCGGAGGAGGGAGGCCGAGAGGCCGTTGTAGAGGCCTGTCACGCCGTGGTTGCGGATGATGTGGGTGAAGGTGCCGACCATGTTCTTTGGCGCGTCGGGGCGGCGGACCTGGAGGCGGACCTAGAGGAGGGTGGCATTGTGTAAGTAAGTAAGTCCTTGCTTTGGGAGCGACGTATTTGTGTCGTTGTTTGCTACGGCTCTTAAGAGAGCTTGAGTTTGCTACCATGAATCGAGGGTTTCATTCGCTGGTGTGTTGTAGAAGTGGGAGCGCATTACCTTAACTGTGAGACATTGTCAGCTCTTGGCTCACTCCGATGTTTGTAATATCGCAGGCTCTCTCGCGCGCCATATCTCGAGATCAAGGTTGGTAGAACTTACCCAAATCCAGGGGATGGGTCACGCAGGCGGCCATACTACTGGCGCTGCCTCCGAACCAAAAAGGATACCTCAGCGATGGTTCCGCCGTCTTCTTCTGCTTTTGAGGCGCCGGCGTCGTCGCCGTAGCCGTCGGTTGCGCTTTCGACTGCTGCTTCTCCTGAGCCCCCTCGACCTGGCCCAACTTCAACGGCGAGGGCTGCGACGACGACGACGACGGCCCGGACGGCTCGTCGGCCGATTTACTGGTGACCATGTTGGCGGCGGCGGCGGACTGCATCGTTGCAGGGTGTTGCGCAGTTCCCTATGATAAGCTCATCCCGTTGCGGCGCAATTGAACACTGCGTCGCGAAAATGGCAAAGGATCCGTAAGTAAAGAAGCACAAACGGACGACCTTTGTCGGATTTAACGTGAGTTATGTCCAAGATTGCCTGGTTCCCCTCTCTCTCGTGTCGGCAACTATCAGCTGAGTAGCGTGTGTTGCTGGGACGTCACTTTTCGGTCGTTGCGGTCGAGTGACGTCTTTTTTTGTTATAAAGCCGACTTCGGGGGAGAGGATGGTGTGGTCGTGCAGGAGGCCTTTTTTTTTTGTCGCTGCTTTGGGGTATGCAGGTGGTGGGAGGAATGGAAGAAGCCGAGGAATTGGAGATCGGCTCGGTTTATCGCGAACTTTTTTTTTGTCGTTATCTTTTTTTTTTACCTTAATTATCACCGATTCGGCTGAACGAGGGACGCGCTTCGAGTCGGCTCAAGGGAACGAAAGAAAAAAAGGAGATTTGCTGATTGATCAAGTCCCCTTTCAGAGGGAACCACCACCACCAACAGTCAACAACAGAACCTGTTGCTTCGATTTTTTTGGTGCGTCATTGGGCCTGCAGCGAAGCCAGGGTGCCATGCGCTAATGAAGGGCGTCTCCGGACCCTTGCTCCGGGGGGAGTCGGCAGGGTCTGGCGCCGTGTGCCCGCCCCGGGTCGCAATGCCAATTGGCTTGGCCCGTGCATCCCGTAGCTTTTGTTAGACTTCTGGCAATCGACACTTTTTCGACCAACTGCTGCGAAAGCTCCCTTTTCCTAACGGCAGCTCTTGTCGCAACACTACATCGGAGCTCTACGCCTGTGATGAGCACATAGAAAAAGGGCCTTTGCATACGGACAAGGGCGTTCACAACTTCAAAATGCTCGTCCCAAGATTAGCCGGTAGGCAATTGCAAAGTTGCTTCCGTGGCGCCACCTGCGCCGCGAGAGCTCCCCGACAATGGCAGGCCATCGCTTCATTGTCGATGAGCGGTAGCCGGCGCAGCTACTCCTCAGGTTAGATCACAATCAATTGGTCCTTGGTGATCCCTTTAACCTAAACAAACAAATATCACAGAACCCTCGACGATTTCAAGAACCCTAGACCAGAAAAAGACCGTCGAGGTCAACGGCCAAACGATACCGACAGACACCTGGTTCAACGTCCCGACAAACGTCCTCGACGCCGCCTCGCGCAAGCTTCACCTCCAAAAAGATCACCCCGTCTACATCACGCGGCAAATCATCGAGTCGCAGTTCCCGGCGCCAACATACAAGTACCACAACACCTTTGACCCCGTCGTCACGACGCACCAGAACTTTGATTCGCTCGGGTTCCCCTTGGACCACCCCGGCCGCGCGAAATCAGACACCTACTACTTCAACAAGGACACCCTCCTCCGCACGCACACGAGCGCCCACCAGGCGCAGACTTTCCAAAAGAACCTGAGCGAGGGCTACCTCATCAGCGCAGACGTCTACCGCCGCGACGCCATCGACAGGAGCCACTACCCCGTCTTCCACCAGATGGAAGGCGCCCGCATGTGGGACAGGACAAAGGTGCCTAACGGCGACATCGCCGCCGCCGTCTGGGAGGACCTCGACAGGCTGCCGAAGCACAACGTGAAAGTCGAGGACCCGCACCCGGCCTACGATGCGGAGCGGAACCCCCTACAGGAAGGTCACCACTCCCCCGCCGAGGCCGAGGCCATCGGCGCCCACCTGAAGCGCTCGCTCGAGAACATGGTGGTCGAGATCTTCACGAGAGCGAAAGCCGCCGCGGCGAAGGCGGACCCGGATTACAAGGACGAACCCCTGCGTGTCCGCTGGGTCGAGGCGTACTTCCCCTTCACGAGCCCCTCGTGGGAGCTCGAGGTCTACTATGCAGGCGACTGGCTAGAGGTGCTGGGCTGCGGCGTGGTAAAGCAGGACATCGCCATCAACGCCGGCGTGCCGCAGCAGGTCGGCTGGGCCTTTGGCATCGGCCTCGAGCGCATCGCCATGCTCCTCTTCCAGATCCCCGACATCCGCCTCTTCTGGTCCAAGGACGAGCGGTTCCTGAGCCAGTTCCGGGGCGTCTCGGACCAGCTCGATAGCATGAAGCGCTTCGTGCCCTTTTCAAAGCACCCGGCCTGCCCCAAGGACGTCTCCTTTTGGCTCGGGAGCACCTCCTCGGCAGCAGGCGGCAACACGAAGGCCAACACGCAGGACTTCCACGAAAACGATTTCATGGAGCTGGTCCGCGACATCGCCGGCGAGCGGGCCGAGGACGTCCGGCTGGTGGACGAGTTCACGCACCCCAAGACGGGGCGACGTAGCATGTGCTACCGCATCAACTACCGAAGTCTCGAGCGGACCCTGACCAACGAGGAGACCAATGAGCTGCACAGCGAGGTGACCCGGAAATTGGTCGAAAAGCTAGGCGTCGAGATCCGGTAAGGGAAGACAGAAGAAAGAAAAGGCAAACAAACACTGTGCAAGCAGTTGTTCAACGTTTGGCATAGTTTGAGGGGTAAAAGGGGGCTGTGCTGCCAACAACTTGTTATTCCCTCATCTTGAAGATGGGACGAGGGCTTCTCAATCCGATGGCGGTGAGTAAGTCCACATTCGGCATGCCATCATGACTGCATGGCATCATTCTAGCGTACTCGAACCCCGGCGTAAGTTATACGTCTCTGCCTGAGGGGTTGTCGTGAGACGGGTGCTGCTAAGCTTTTAGCTTGCGCCCTGGCCATGTGCCTGTGTAGAAGAAGAGGCCGTCACGGTCGTGTATCATATCAGCTACATTGTACTATCAAGAACCACCCCAAAAAAAGGACGGACTGAGCTCAAGCTTGGCGTTTGTGAAGGCTGAGTAGAGCCATGAATCAAAATACTAGAACTTCAGGGTGAAAAGTTACGGGAACTCGGGATTTCCTTTGATCCCGTCGTCTTGCAGATGTGATGTGCTGTGTTCCTCGGAAGCTATGATTCTGAAGCAACCGTGTGATGTATGCATACGAAACATCAGACCAACGGGAAGAAGAGAAAAAAAAGCAGCAGTAGAGAACCGTTGAAAGTCAGCAGTGGATCATGGACCGCTCTGTCAAGCGTCCGAGCATCTCGGAACAAAGGAAGAGAAGATTTTGCTGCTGCTGCTGCTGCTGCCCAGACGATTGTAAATATGCTTGCTCTGATTGCGGGAGCTCAACTCCGCCGGTTCGGGAATGAAGCAAGAAAATAAAATTCTGAAGCAGTGACGCCGGGGTTGCAGATCGGTTGTATCATGCGCAAAACCTTCACACATAAAGCTCGCGCGCAGCAGCACGAGCGCATAAGTTTTCGGGAAGATGGAGTAGACCATCGACCCGTCGTCCCATCACCAAGAAACTTGGGACGGTCGTGCAAAAAGTCAGTTTCAAGGCTTTCTTCTTCTTTTCTTCACAAAAGATTTCTAGCCAATCCTCGCGCTCGCATTGTCACAAAAAACATGAGACTTGAGCCGGCCTACAGTACCAATGGTGGTGGAGGGGAGAGATGTTTTGCTCGATTGTTAGACGGTTAAACTACACAGCCCACGTACCCTTGTCGAGCTCTCGTCGTTCGTTGCATCAGACCAAGCTGTGATTGTTGCAAAAATTTTCCTCAATGCTGATTTCCCCCTCTCGCAAGCGAGTTCCTTGTAATGTTGTCCGAACGGATGAGATGAGTTTGCCATCGCTTCAGGTCCGACTCGGCAGCAAAGTTTATCAAGCGGTAATCTCTCTGAGCAGACAATGTCTTTGGTGCAAGGAAGCCCCCGTTCTTTCTGGAGATAAGGTGCAAGGCATATCAAGCTTATGAGTACACTACTCTATAGACGTCCTGGTGCCGCAGGATCGCAACAAACGGTACCTAAGGTTACGGTCGGAACCATGAACTTGAGGCCCTGCAGGTCAGCAGTTGCAAAAGTGCTCTTTCGGGGCCGTAGGAGACGACTTGGTCGATCGTTGACTGTCGTGCAAGCGAGTTGAGAAACGAAGACTCTTTGCTATAGGTGCAACTTGCCCAACTAGGCAATCGGCAGCCGGTATTATCTGGAATGGCGCCAGTGAAAAGACAGAGTGTCGGAGGTGCAGCGGAATGCAGAAAAAGAGCATGCATGTCTTGGCCTAGAACGGTGTCTGGGGAAGCCGATTGCAGCACGAAACATCAATCTGGCAGGTGGAAAGTCTTGGTGTTTTGCACAGCCTCGTTTCCAGATCGCCAGAAGGATATTTGCTGACCGTACAGCAGGACCGTAATCTTCCGTGTCAATCAGAGAGAGAGGGGAGCGTTTCTGCGGCGTGTCGGGGCGATCGGGTTGAAACATTGGCGAACATGGTCACAGAATGGGTGCTGCTGCCGTTGCAACGATCAGCGGCCGGGCCGTGTTGAATGCTGAAGGCAAATTCCATCTTGTTCGTCTGCTGTCCTCTGGGCTCTGCGGATAGAACCTCGATATCCATTGTGGCTGATTGTCCCTCTGCTAAGGATCAGACGAGCGTGTGCACTGGTAAATGTCTCTGACCAGCGGCGTAGGGAAGGGGCTGAGACTCGGTGCAATTTGGCGCAGAGCTGGCTGAGCGAAGACAAAATTCGTAGGCCGACTCGTGTGCCGGCGCGGGCTGAGCTGGCATAGCAAAGTTCAAGCTTCGAAGGCGAGCCGTGACTGAGGCTTTTCGGGACCCCATCCCGCGATCAATCTCGCACGGGGTGACGGAATGCCTTGCCCCTATTCATCCGGCCGGTATGTCATAGCATGAACTCCTAGATCAAGGCAGGTTTTCTGCTGAGTTGGCGCCGCCATCGCTGCGGTTCGTTGAGAGGGGCGGCGGGCTCGCATCATGGGTGAACTCCCCTCCAAAGCCAAGCCCCAGCCCCAGATGATATGATGCCGGGGGTTGGAGGCGTTGCTCAGCCAAGACCAGGAACACAAGCTTCGGTCTTTCAGATTACACTGCAACCTGCCGACAACATGGTCAGAAGAAATTTCGGATAGAAGCGCGAACCTTGGTTTGATAGCATCGCAAGTGGTCCAAGGAGGCGCCGCCCCCAAGCCTATTATCGAACCGTAAACTCCAAGTGTTGTAGATACAGTGAGTGATTAAGACTGAGCTTGTCTTGTGAACACAACATTTGCTGCACAGCCCCCATCACTCCATGGACCCTTGGCTAGGGACTGAACGCTGTGGGGGTTTGACTCGGTATCCCTGGAGTCTTTTTAGCTTAACCGCGATAGCGCAAGAGCGGGGGGATGAGCTGTCGAGGTGTCGGTTGTCGAATCACTAATGAATATGGTGACAGTCGACAGGTCTGGTATCTGCATCTGTAGGGTAACGTTGACATTCGGAGTGTGCCCGAGTCCAGACTGGGCATCTCGAAGATCCGCGATGCAGGTGTCTCTAGAAACGGGTGGCTGCATGCCACTCGGAATGGACGCACTGGAGGCATCCCAAGACCTCAGAAGCGACAGGAGACCCAAGCCCTTGGTGGCTGTCTGCTGTGCCTGTTTCTCGCGTGTCCAGGGACGTACGGGAAGGGAAAATAAGAGAGACCCGAGTGTGAGGTCACAGGACATGGTGGACGGATACGGTGGGAAGGGTGCGAAGATGGCGATGCGCCGCTACCGAACGTAGTGCTGTCGACGGCTGCCGTAACTGCGGTCAAGTAGCGGGTCGGGGCACTGATTCTCAGCGCTTTGGAGCCCAAGTCTCGCTTCAGAGCGTGCCGTCATTCTTCACTACGTCCACCTGGGCTCAGTTCAGGTCCTTCGGATAGTGCGTGGGCGTGTGGGGGAACAGCAGAGGCTCCCGTCGTAGAATTGTTGCAGGGGGAGGCCTGCGGGAGGCGAAGAGGTTTGCTGCTGGAGCCGACAACGACAACGAGACTGCGTTCAGAGACTGCCCTGTCACAGGAGCCTGCCCTGAGGGAACAGCCGTGCCAGCCAGTTTGGGTTCAATGGAAGGCAAGCACCGCCCTCATGGCACACCGTAAAGTCGTCACTAAGGAAATTACCGATTGAGGCGGAGATAACTGGAGCCGCTACCGTAACGGTACGTACTCGAATCTAGCCCGTCCAAGAGTCTTAGCTCATCCGTTAAGGAAGACACCAAGGGACCAGAACACGGAAACTGCGCGTAAAGAATGGCTGGGGTGGCGAATGGCATTCTCGACAATTCGATTTCCAGCGGGGCCGACGAACCAGGACCTGTTCGATTCGTCAATAGTCTGCCGTGTCAAGCGGTTCCATCTATCTCCACGCCAGCGAGGGACGATGGAGGTCCAGGTCTTTCGTGGATCATTTCCCATGAGCCACCAGGTGCAAACCGCAGCACGGCGCGAAGCAAGGGCAAGGTCCTGTTGAGGATGAGCTTGAGGTATGGGCATGGCAGATATTGCAAAGCAATGTCGCGGAAAGCATCCCGTGGACACTTCTGACTTGAAGAATGCCAAGCCTTCTGGAGTGGGAGGAAAAACTTTTGCCGTATCATTTCTCTCTATCCGTATTGCCTCTTGCTCTTGCACAGCCCCAATTCATGTCAGCTGTGTTAGTCCCGGTCCTGGGCTGCTGGATGCCCAGTGCTTGCCTTTCACGCCTCTATCAGTCTCTCTGCTCAGAGGCAAGATAAGCAGCCCGGTGAGTTGTTGAAATGATGAGCCGAACGATCAAAGTAACTTGCGTATCTCATAGCATCTCTCTCAGCCTGTGTACATTATGATTGTACAAGCTGGTGCCTTGCCGCTGTTCTACATGCGTCGTCCGATCCCGACGTGCTCCTTCTCGCGCCAATGCACCTTGGCAAACCCACGCGCCCTGCTTTGCTGTGAACCTTTTTCCCATAATAAGCCTGGAGGAAGCTGCCTGCGCTCGCAGCGACTGGGCTGTAAATTGACTGCGTGACTAGCAACATAGGACGTGACTATGTTGTCCGTGGGAACGGATAAGGAAGGGGACCGTAGGAGACTCCCCGTCTGCCCGCCTGCCGTCTCCACCACTGTGACGGCACTCTCCAGAAGGGCGGCGAAACTTCAAACGGGCCCGTGAGTCCGTGTGGCCTTCCCGTTTCATCCACACAGACACTTCCAGCGCCCCACTCAACGTCCAGAGGCAACGGCACCCCTCCCCTCTACGCAGTACCTAAGCTAAGTACCTAACAACTCAGCCATCCACCATCCACCTGGCAAGCCTGGCACCGTCCACCATCCAACCATCCCACACTCCGCCCGACCCCAGTAGTCCCTCAGTAGCGCTTGGCCAAGCCACTCTCTCACTGGCACGCTCAAACATATAACCAAGACCGCCTCCCGCCAACCACCACGATCATTCTTCGCTCCAACTCCAGCAACAACCAAAACACTACACAAACAAACCGCACTATTGCAAGCCTCTCTTCTGCAGATGAATAAGATCACTACACAATCTGCGTAGAATACACAGTAAAGAGCTGGAAAACGACCTCCTCGCCACACACACCGCAAAACCCACACCTCAACCACATACACATACACAACCATCCAAAATGGAATCACCTCAGTTGGATACTCGCCCCATCTTCTCGAGACGCTCGACCGGCTCCAACAAGTCGCTCTCCCTCGATCTTTCGTCTCTGCCGCCTCTGGTCCAGCCGACGCCACCCACAAACACCCTCCTCTTCACAAACCTCAACGACACCTCCATCTTCCGCCCCGACAACCTCCAGACCATCCGCGACCTCATCCTCAAGACAGCGCCAGTCCACTCATGGGCACCACTCAAGTCCTTCCGCCGCATCGTCGTCTCCTTCTTCTCGGAGGACGACGCCATCGCCGTCCGCCGTGTCTGGGACGGTGAAGCCGTCATCGGCGAGCGCGTCCGCGTCTACTTTGGCCAGCCCACTCCCGTCGAGGTCACCGACCGCCATCTCGCCCTGCCCGACGCCGGAAAGCTCTTCTTCATTTCTCCCCCTCCCTCGCCCCCCCACGGCTGGGAGATGAAGCTGGAGGACGCCCCCAACAAGATGGTGCACGCAGAGGACCTCGCCGATGCGCTGGCCAAGCTCCACCACCGCCCGACGGGCGTCGAGACCCCCATCAGCCCCGTCGACGGTTCAAGACAAACGCGCAGCAGGAGCTCAACCCTGCTCTACCAGCCTGACGTCAACGGCACCAGCCCCGATTTGCCTGCCATCTGCCTCGAGGACATGACCGACGAGCCAATGGAGTTCAGTCCTATCGAGCCGAAGCCCATCATGGCGCATACTTCTCGCCCACCCGTGGAGCTAATGCACCACGCATAATTCTTTGATTTCAACCCAATTTGATTTTTGAAAGAGCGATCTTGGTCAGGCGTTGGATGGTACGATATTGGGATTGTGGCGGTTCAGGAACTTTGGGCACGCATCTAGCATCGAATGGGCTTGCGATGGCGTTTAATGGAAAGACCACAGCTTGCACATTGGAGCGGTACACTTTTGGATTGGGGAGGAATACTATTCGAATGGGATCGGCACTGTCACACTGTCGTTCCTGCTGGCCAACGAGCCAATTTGTTGCGCAAAAAAAGTTTCTCCTGTGTTGCTAAGAAGCACACAAGGTCTTTTCCTGTACACTAGATTCACCTTTCGCTTTCAGTATTGAAAGACAGCGAAACAAACAAACTTGATTACCAACAAAGAAAAGTGACGTGGACCCCTATATCTGTCTCAGTATTGTAATATGTAGCTCTACTACTACTTCTGCGACCCGAAACCTGCGGCAGAGACGTTCATGCTGTGGAGTCAGATTCGTGGACTGGACTGATGCGCGCCAGGCCAAACGGTTTGATCTTCAGATATAGTGATCTACACTATGGCTTTCGAACCCCATCAACCAAGGGCAGAAGGTTGATTAGAGGCTTTCAAGGGACTCATAATCAGACTTTTCGCCCATCACGGGCGAAGCCATCACGGTTGAAGCCACAGCGCCACTTGCGGACCTCGATGGCAGGCAGTCAGCAGTACAGTCATCTTTCTCTCATGGCAAGCTTGAAAAAGCATCTCAATTCAAGTGCTGGGTGGGCACTACACTGTTTTATTAAAACTGTATTCTTGTACTTGTGACTCAGAAAGAATTAACTTTCTTCGATAACAAGGTACTCAGAAACCAAGGGCAGAAGAAACCCGGCCCCTCACAGCCGATCGGGACCAGGCCGTCTGACGATTGTTTCTGACGTATGATGGGCACCTTTGTCCCTGCAAGGGCTCACGTTCATCGGCAGGTATAATGCTCACAGAACCCTCCCAAACAGGGCCGACGCCCCGCGGATGCCCAGCCAGGCGAGCAGACCGCCCACGGTGGCAACCACGCCTAATGTGATGAGGCTCCGGCGTTCGTTGCTGCGCACGCGGCGTGTGCTTGCTCCTGCTCGTGCTCCCGTCTTTGCATCTGCGGGGGTGGAGCCGGGCTCGTGAGTCGACGGGTCCTGGTGCTGCTGGGTCCGGGCCGCTGCCTCGGTGGACGGGACGTCTAGGGTCGGGATGTACTTGAATTCGAAATTTGTTTCTTTGCCTAGGGCGCCGAGCTCGGTTTTGTTGATTGTTATATTGAAGAGGGCTTTTTTGAGGTTCTGGGAGGGGTGTTAGAGGGTACTGTAAGTTCATGTTGTAATTAAGGGGGTCGCGTTCTCTTTTGTCAAGTTGTTGCCGACATATGAACAAATTATAAAAAGAGTATATCCAAAGGTAGATTGTGACTGACCTCATTCCTCGACTCGTCCCAACGGGGAAACAGACGGCGGGAGTAACACATGAACATGAAGAAGAGACACTGGCCGAGTATAAGCAGCGAGTAATAAAACGGCGGCTTCTCCACCGCCAACGCGCGCGCGAGCTTGGGGCCGTTGAGCCAGTACGTCTCGGCGGCGAGGAACTCCCTCGAGACGTGCCAGGGCGGCTGCTCGGCGAGGCCCGTGAGGACGTTGTTGGCGAGGGCGCGCGAGGTGTCGGAGGGTTGGATCTCGGAGGCAAGCAAGGACTCCATCATCGCCCTGGCCTTGTTCAGGCTCGAAAAAGCGTCGGTGGGCGTGCCCATGATGTAGGCCACGTAGCGCCAGAGGGCGAGATAGTCCTGTTTCTCGCTGTCCTTGAGGAAGATGCCTTGGCGGGGCAGGCCGATCCAGAGGAGGGTGGAGGAGAAGGTCGTGATTGTGCCGATGGAGTCGAGGTCGTTCACGGGGACGCCGTAAGCTGCCACGTCGTAGTAGGAGGGTCTCTGCTGAGCAAGGAGGAGGATGCGGCGGCGGACGGCGGCGTGGAGGAGGCGGACCCGGACGGAGGAGGCGTGGCCATGGCCGCCGGGCTGGATGGAGGGGAGGTCGCGGGTGACTTGGATGATGTGCTGGAAGGTCTCGAGGAGGCGGCGGCGGGTGACGTTGACGCCGAAGCCGCCTGTTCTGGATAGGGTTTCTACGACGCGGCGGCCGCCCATACCGCCTACGAGGGACTGAAATGTGAGCTGTGGGATTTGGTTGTTAGTGAGGTCTGAGATAAGGATTTATGGATCGCGAGATGGGTGAGGTTTGGACTTACGGCGAATATGGTTGGGGCTGCGTATCGGAGAAAGACTTGTTGTCCGCGTTCAATTTGGGCCCAGTCGACCCATGGCGGGATGGTGTTGATTTCAGTCCATAGTTTTCCCAGAACCTCGTCTGCGTCTGCATTGTCTCTCAAGAGAGCATACAGGTCTCGATGTGGCTTCGCGCCCTGAGGAGTGTCTACCTTCTCACTATGGGTGGTCGAGTGTTTCACAGGAGGTGATACTTCATCTAGTCGGTCCAATGCTTCGGCGCCCAGCTCATCGTAAGTATATATCATTGGGCGAAGGTTGTCGGATGTGAGGTGCTCGTCGGTCCACTTGAACCAGTAGTCCCAAACTTCTCGCCACTCTTCACCCCGGTACCAAAGGACACCTGCCATTGCTGTTACTGGATTTCGAAGTCTTGACAGTAAACGATGTAAAAGGAGAGTCAGATGAAATGAATGTATGAGACCGTAGCCAAGCACCAAGTATAAAGTCGAGGAGAGAAAAGTTGAAAAAGACCTGGAAGTCTCAGTGTTCAGTTCGCCTTGGCGAATCGGGGGGCAAAGCTCAAGCTAAGGGCGGAATGACTTCATAGACCTCAAAACACTTGTCTCATCGGGAACTAGATGTTGTTAGACCAACCCAAAGTCTTCATCCAATTTAAGCTCCAGGGCCTATATGGAATGAATAACTACAAGAAATGAATACAAAGCAATGAACGCAGGACCAGAGAGAGAGAGAGCAACTTTCACTTGGAAGTTGGAGACCCCGAAGTGGTGGCCCTTTTCGGATGAGGAGGGTTTGACACCTGACTGAGCGAATCACCGGACCACACTGGTCGACCGGTAAGCCGGGTGGGAAGAGGACGGCAATTGCTACTGAGATTGGACGAAGATGCAGGTATGTGCTTCGGGAAGGTTGGCCCCACGGCCTCAAAGACTGCCAAGGACATGGATGTGCCATGATGTTTGCACGTGATTGGGCCTTCTCTTCGGTTGTGAGGTAGAGGCGGAATTCGGGTTGGACTGCTAATGACCGCAAGCTCGGTCAGATGGAACAGCCTTCAGTACCTCTGCTTCATTAGACTAGAAAGAGTTGTGTACGTAAGGCCGCGGGTTGTAGTTGATGATGTGATGTGTAAGTGGAAGACGCGCTTCTCTTTGATCACTTCAAACCCATGTTGATGTTAGTGCAAATGATGTAAAAGCCCCCCGTTGGGATCAACAAATATATATGACATGATCTGATAACGAAGGAGCCAGAACAAAAAAAAAAAAAAGAGTTCACCTCGGTAGGCTACATCTCTTGGTGCTCATGCTGGGATTCGAACTCGGGTACTCGCTAAGCCTGTCGTCGAGTAGGCTGGTTGGTGTGAAATTGATTGTTGACCTTAAACCACCCCACCAACCAGCGAGTTTGACCTGATCCATCGACCTAGACGGACGCCTGCTTTCTGGTGACAGGAATGGGATTGAAGGGGGGTATATAGGCATTCTGTGTATGTTCACTCCGGTGATAGAATGGGATGAAGTCGATGTTTATTCTGATAAGGTAGGCGCTGGCGGGGCACCACTCTCAAGTGCGGACTTTCCATAGCCGCCCCGCTGCAAGCACTTCCACAGCAGCCCCTGCAGTTACCCGGCGCAGCGGCGCTTTTCCGCCGGGCGCCCCTGCGGCGGGTTCCCTTCTCCTGTCTGCGCGTCCCGTCCCGTCCAGTCGCGGAACCAGCTTAATTAGACTCGAGCTCGACTTTTTTTTTTCTCCTTCCCGGGCCAGCAAACGCCTCCTTGTCTAACCTCACCTCCACCTACCTAAGTATCCGACTTTACACTAGAGCTTGACTGCCTCCTATCTCATCCCGAATCAGAAACCTCACGATCACGCGATGCTCTGCTCTTGTCGCCTGAGCCCCCTGCGGCTTTTCGTCCAGGGTATTTCGCAATTGCACATCTCTGAACCCGTCGTCGCACCGAGAGTCTCCCAATACGTCAAGAACAACCGTACCTTACAGATCAGCCAAGCCTCCACATTTGCGACATCGGCCGTTCACAACAAAAAGCGTGACTTCATACCATTTGAAAAAGGAGGAAAGCAGGCTACATCAAGAGGACCACTGGAAGAACAACCCGACGAAGAGCCGGCGAAACCGAAGCGAGAAAACTGGCAGCTCCAAAAAGAGGCCCTAAAGAAGAAGTTCCCCGACGGCTGGAATCCGCGCAAGCGCTTGTCCCCGGATGCAATTGCTGGCATCAAGGCGCTGCACGCCCAGTTCCCCGAGGAGTACGATCTGAAGACGCTCGCCGACAAGTTTCAAATGTCGCCTGAGGCGATCCGCCGTATTCTGAGGAGCAAGTGGCAGGCGACGCCCGAGGAAGAAGAGGACAGGCAGGAGAGGTGGTTCCGGCGCGGCGTTAATGTGTGGTCGCGGTACGCGGAGCTGGGCCTGAAGCCGCCCAGCAAATGGCGACGCGAGGGCGTTACCCGAGACCCGTCGTACCATCAGAACCGCAAGGAGGCGATACAGAGGAGGAAAGAGGAGGAAGCCAAGGAGAATGTTGGGGAGAGGCTGCAGCGGAAGCTATCTGATACCATCATGTGAGTGCTGGACAACGGCGACTGCACTTCTTTTCGAACAGCAGCTCGAATACCATCTCAGCTCTTACATCATAACGGCCGGCACATGGCCTCAAAAATCTAATCATGAACATTACATCAACATACATCTCCAGCGCAGCGATTGTCAAACTCAAACGGTCGAATATGCGCATTGTGACCGAGCCAATCATTCACCCCTAGCAGCTGCATGAACCCCATACTTCCCATTGGATGTGGCTGCCTATCAGCCTTCTTTGCGACCGCAAAGCCTCACTCCGCGCGCAAGACGAAGACCTTTATCATCGGGAAACATGTCAACTAGTTTTTGCAGAGAAATACACCAGTAGCCGCAAACAAGTCATGAGACTTCTATCCACTGAGACGAAAAAGTTCGAAGTCTTCGATCTTGAAAATGCTCCACCTTACGCCGTGCTATCTCACCTTTGGGAGCATGACGAGGTTTTGTTCCAAGACTTGAGGGACGGCCAAATGCTACGTCCAAGAGCTGGCCTTCGAAAGATAGACGCCGCTTGTCTTGTTGCCCAAGAGCGAATGCTGAGGTATATCTGGATTGATACTTCTTGCGTGGACATCGAAAGCGAATCCGAACGAAGTGAAGCAGTCGAGTCCAGCTTCCGCATCTTCAAATCAGCGGCGTTATGCATCGCCTATCTGTCTGACGTTGAATCAGAGCGCCCTTTGCCGGCTGGCCATGTTTATTTGACCGACAGGAATCTTGACGATAATCTAGAGGGCAGATTTCGACATACGTTCAAACGCAGTAGATGGTTTACGCGGTCCTGGGCCCTGCCGGAACTTATTGCCCCATCCGAGCTTGTATTCTACTCCCGTGGGTGGGAACTTATCGGCACACGATCGGAGCTCCGGAATCACCTATTTGATATTACTGGTGTTGATACCTTCATTCTCCAAGGTGGTGATCTCGCAAAGGTATCCGTGGCCCGGAAGATGTTCTGGGCCACGAGTCGCAACGCGTATCGACTTGAGGACATTTCATACTCGTTGGCTGGTTTATTTGGCGTCGATATGATGCCAATTTACGGGGAGGGCAACCTAAGTGCATTCTTACGTCTGCAGGAACACATTGCGAAGACTGTCCCAGATCCAACCCTTTTCGCCTGGAGAAAAGATTGGCTCCAGAAGTTCACGACGTGGGATAAGTGCAAAGATCTTGTCAACTCAAGTCACCTCCGCGACTTTTTGGCAAGCAGTCCAGGCGCCTTTAGTCACTGTGGAAGCATGTTTCCCGCTAAGGTGACCTTCGACGACTTCAAGCTAAATCAGAGGGACTTCGGCAATGATGACGATACTGCGTGGGAAACTAGTTCTGTGGCATCCTTCCAATCGTCAGCAACCACTTTGATTGAAGGTTCGACTTCGACACCGGTCACATCGGGTTTGGGCAACGCGATATCATTCTTGTCCGAAAATGATACCTTGTATCCGCTCTTCAGATTGGCCATGCAAACACCTCGGGTAGGACCTGACAGGCTGCGAAGGAATCTGACCCGGATTCTGCGGTCCCTCGGCCTGGAACTGGCGATAGAAGCGATAACCAAGGAAGAAGCTCTGTCCGCAGTATTTTTCCGTGTCTACCGGCTGGCAATCGCATCAGGGGTCACATCGAGAATTGCCGAAAAGAGCCTCGAGCCCATTGCCCTCGACCAGCCGAGAACCAGAGCGCCAGAGGATGCTCCAGGTACTCTTTCTGAGGACCCTCATCGAGATGAATTCGCGCAGCTCGAGCAGGAAGACGACGACCTTGGCCAGGAAGAAGGCGATGATGCTCCCGAGGAGAAGGAGGGACAAGCGAACGAGTTGGACTTTGAGTCCATCAGAGCCTTTGTTCTCTCCAGCGGGGCTTTTGAAAACATGACGAGGAGACTGTCCGATTTTGTCAAACCGACCTTCCGCACCCAGGCCCAGAAGCTTGTTGCCAAGGTCCTCGAAGGCAAAGATACATTAGAGGACCAGTATTGGATTGGCATGAAGGATAAGATGCAAGTCGTCCTGACGGAGCTGGAAGAGTCAAGTCCTGAAAACTTATTGCTGGACATTGAAAGCACACCGAAGAGGCTCGAAGTATTCCAAACCTGGGCGGAAACTATGACCAAGGAGGAATGGGATTGGTGGCCTCTGCCACCTCCCAAGCATGCTTTGAGCTCCACTGAGGCGCGAGTTGGATGGCGCTGTGTAAGTTCGTCTCGTTACTCACTCGCAGAGACCCATGTTCCTAACGTTACATATTCAGAGGTGCGGTATATCAAGATGGGAGACCGTCCCAGCCTCATTTGCAGGTAACATTGCAATGTTGCTGCAGAAGTATCCTCTCGCAAGCCGGAACCATACAGGCTCAGCAAGCAACCCGGCATCAGACCCTCCGCCGACGTCTTGGAAAACCGATGAGACCTCATCGCTGGGGACAAGATCCATCAAGACCTCCAGCATCAGCGAATTATCAAAGCTACCTGACCCAGTGTCCTCGCCTATTCAGGATAATCAGACTGGTCAGAAGCGCGAATATCCCCGGCCGAGGTACATCTTTTTGCTCGCGACTACGGGTCGGCATCGGCTCAGGCAACTACCCTCGCTCTACTTAGACACCGCGGATTTTGGACAAGAATTGCGAAAAGCGTATCGCGAGCTCAAAGGCTTCTGGAGGTGGTGGTTTTCGCCTTACAACTTCTCCCATTGCGAGTTTGTGCGTGTAAGTGATATCCTTTCCTTCGTCCTAAAGCGAGGCAAAGACAATAGACTCTTCCCCATCACGGCCCCGTAAGATGGCTAGCATAATAGCACGCGAGCCTGGAGACTCACACTAAATTCTCACCAGTTCGAAAAGTTCTGCCGCAACGGCTTCGCCCACCGCGGCCTCGAAGTTCCAAACACATCCCAAAAGGACTACTACTACAACCCGCGTCCCGCCCTTCGCGAACCCCCGGTCTCTCCCGAAGAATTCAGCCACGTCTTCCACTACGCAGCCAAGAGCGAGGCCGTCATCTGGGCATCGCTCGGCCTACCGTTTTACGATACCGTCGAGGCGCTGAGCGACGATACCGTCGGCTGCATACCGCAGCGGTACCACTACCTCGACGAGCGGAGTAATCGCAAAGAGGACTTTTGGGGTCTGTATATCAGAGAACGGCGGTCTGCGCTGATGACGTCGGTGTATATCCTGCTATGCCTCTCGCCTTTTTTTGCGTTTTGCTTTTTGTACTTGTTTGGAGTTATTTCGGGGGATATACAGAATGCGACGACGCCGCTTGCGTTGGCGTTGACGGCTCTTGGGTTGTTTCTGGGGTCTATGATTAAATCTTAGGGGGGCAGACACTTAGTCGATGAGCCAGGTTTGTTGGCCTTTCGTGGCTTTAGCAGGATTGTATGAGGATATATGGATGTTTGGTGTTGGAGTCTCATATCAGGAAAGGATTGAGTCATTATCGTAGCTGGTGTGAATCAGACATCGGTCCTCCCTTTCAGCAGATTTGTTCATTTTTCGCAGTATTGCTACTTCAAGTTTCAAGACGTGGGAAGTGTGCAATCAACAAATAATGAAAGAAACCTTTCGGCAGGTTCATATTTCGCAACTCTGTAAGTGCCACATCATGAAGACACCGCCTTTAAGTATAGAATCAAGGGATCAAACCATTACATCGTTCCTATGCACATAGCCCGCACTCACTCATGCATATCAAATTTCACTCAAACTACTAAGCCTCCAGCAAAACATAACCCAAGCAAAAAGCAAAAGAAACTGTTCGCCGAATGACGGTGATTCCAAGGACCGACCGCGATTCGAACGCGGGACCTAGAGATAGGTTGCTGCTGAGGAGCTGCAATCTCTCGCTCTACCACTGAGCTATCGATCCTGGGTTAGGCGGGATGAAAGGCTTAGTCATCTGGCTGTTGGGATAGAGGGCGTCTCCATCGTCTCATGGAGACTCTGGCAAGGAAGGAGAAAATGCAGCAAGGGGACACATAAGCGAGAGGCAAAGAGAGAGAAGCGAGTTGGGGACTTGAGAAGTGGGAACCGTTGATGTGGATGATGTGGTTACATGACACGCTTCGCCTGCAGACGTGGAGTGGGGGCTTTTTTTTCTGCTTAGCAAATTGTGCATATGTAACCATATGAACATGTTCATCGTATGCAGGTGAGAAGGACGGGTGGGATATGGAAAACTAGACGAAGCGCGGGATACTTCACATTCACAACAAGACAGGTAACGGAGCGACGTGCGTTTGTGGGAAACTTGCAAGTGACATTTGAACACAAGTTTGATATTTCGGCTCCCAGTGCTAGCTCCTTCAACCTAGGGCTATGTTAATTAATGTACAGGGCGAGGCCAGTCTAAAACACAACGCTAGAGCTTTAGATACCCAAGGAGAACTCGACGCCGACATCAATGTCACGGGCTAGAGGATTACAGTTAGCATCTGAGCTTTAAGAACGAGTGTATGGGGAATTCTATGACTTACCCATCTTGACAACCTTGGACAGTTGCACAGCCTTCTCGGCGGCGGTCTGGAGGTCGTCGATGGAGAAGATCTTCATGCCAGAGTTGTTGATGATCTCATGGGCGGCCTCGACGTTGGTACCCTGGAGACGGGCAATGATGGGGATCTTGAGGTTGAGCTCCTTGGAGGCGTTGATGAGACCCTTGGCGATGAGATCGCAGCGAACGATACCACCGAAGATGTTGACAAAGATGGCAGAGACCTTGGGGTCGCTCGTGATGAGCTCAAAGGCCTCCTTGATGGCGGCGGGGGTGGCACCACCACCGACGTCGAGGAAGTTGGCGGGGGTACCCTTGTTGAGCTTGATGATGTCCATGGTGGCCATGGCCAGACCGGCGCCGTTGACGAGGCAGCCAATGTCACCGTCGAGCTTGATGAAGTTGAGGCCGGACTCGGCGGCGCGGACCTCGTCGGCGTCCTCCTGGGTGGTGTCGCGGAGAGCGAAGACCTCCTTCTGGCGGTAGTCGGCGTTGTCGTCGAAGCCGAACTTGGCGTCCATGCAGAGGACCTTGTGGTCAGAGGTCTCGGAGAGGGGGTTGATCTCGATCTGGGTAGCGTCCTTCTCGAGGAAGATCTTGTAGAGCTTCTGGATGGTGTCCTTGGCGTCCTCGATGCACTGCTCGCTGAAGCCGAGCTTAACGGCGATGTCGCGGGCGATCTCGTCGGTGACACCCTTGTTGATGTCAATGTTGGTGGTGATGATGGCGTCGGGGTTCTCCTTGGCGACGGTCTCGATGTCCATACCGCCCTGGGAGGAGGAGACGATGACGGGGGCCTGGGAGGCGCGGTCCATCAGGATGGCGAGGTAGAACTCGCGGCGGGCGAACTTGCGCTCGCAAATGTAGACGGAGCTGCAGAGCTTGCCGCCGGCGCCGGTCTGCTTGGTGATGAGCTTGTGGCCAATCATCTGCTCGGCGAACATCTCGGCCTCGGTGGGGGAGTAGATGACGCGAACACCGCCCTTGAGGCCGTTGTCGAAGGTACCCTTTCCACGTCCACCGGCGAGGACCTGGGCCTTGATGACCATATCCTCACCACCAATCTCCTTTGCGATGGCCTTGGCCTCGGCGGCGGTCTTCGCGTTGGATCCCTTGGGGACACCGACTCCATACTAAAAACGAAAAAGCGACCCTCACGTTAGCTATTGTTTTGGTTCTTTATCGCGCTGAGCTGGCTGAGAAGCTCCTGAAAAACTGGCCCCCCCGAAAAGGAGTGGGGCCCCATGTATCGCAGATTCTCTGGTGGGTGTGTTTACCTGGCGCAGAAGGTCGGCGGAGAGGTACTCGTGAATGCTGAGGTTTCTCCTTTGTTGCTGGGCAAGGCCCGGGTATCTGGGAGCGGCGACCTTTGAGGAAGTTTGGATGGCAGAAGCCAACCGGCTGCGTCCGAGCTTGAACATGATTGTGAAGGGGGTTTATGTGTTCGTGTCGCGAAGGACGGGGGTGGTTTTCGAAGATCGGAGGAAGAGGGAAAAAACGTCAAGCGCGCCTGTCAATTAAATGACTGACAAGAAGGTCCCGACGGGTGGGATGAAAAGGCGCGAAGTCGTAGGAAGGAAAAAGGAAGAGGACTGACGAGGAGTCCTTCGAGTGTGCTGTGATGCAATTGGTTTTGCAGGAAAGCGCTATCTCCAGCAATCTCAAACGGGAAAACCAGAGGTTTCTGGGCCGCGGGAATTCCCGGTCCTCTGGTTGGTTTTCGCTCGGAACAAAGCTTCAGCCGAGCTACAGGGTTCCGCCGCCGCTTTTAGCTGCCAACGGAGCTTGCTTCCTCCGCCAAAACCGTCGCCATATTTCTGTGACCCTACACATCTAATTTTAGGGAAGTACAAAGCAGAACCTGATAATCACAGATAGATTAGCTCATATCTTCATTTCTCCCTTATGACTTCAAAATCCCTCCATATCACTAGGTATTCCATTGCTGGCCGAGGCACGGGATAGCTCCGTCGAGAAGTCAAGGTCGAACTCGGAGACCATCCGGTAAAGCGGCCGAAAGTGGCCCGAGCTCCCAACCCGTGCGCCTGTCAAGACACAACGCCAACCACGTGTCTGCACTGCTGCAGGAAGCTGCATCTGCAGGCTCATCATGTGGCGTCATTTCTTCACCTCGACTTTCAGACATTGCTAGGATCCATCTTTCTGCACGCTGCCAGGCGACTCCAGAAGCAGCACGTTCATTTGTACTAATACTGTTAAAAAAAACTTACAGATACACCAGAACAAATCTTGACTCCCTCGGCTCAGCTCCAACCTACCCCTTGAGCGCCATTGCGTATAACCATATTGCGGCATAATGGCAACCGAGATGAACCCTACCTATCCAATCGTCTTGTCTGATTCAGTATAGATGCTATCTTGACGACATCATATGTTTTTCGGAACCGAGAGGTCGTACCTATGACGGTGAAACTCGCTTGATCGCAGTTTTGGAACCTGCTACAAAGTCAGCGACCATTATTGAAGTTGTCAAAGGTTGTGACTTACAGAACTCATCTCGGTATGACTTTGCCAGTGCGCCAGAGTCAGCCTTTCACCACGTTTAATCCATCCACTATATCTGTTGCGTGACCGCTTAGTTGGTGGACGTAATACTCAGGTGCCGCGGTGGAAGTCGGACGGAGAGCCTTAGATGTTGCCATTTTCGACACCAGCTATCGGCTCTGGTACAACACTGACTACGACTGACCATGACTGGCATACATGGACCAGGACGTAGACGGGCCGGTCTTGCGCCAATACCCACTGAGCCACGACTCTGCACAGTATGATCATGGGCAAGGCTTTCCTCAATCGTCCCAACCACAGTCGCAGTCTTCGGCTAGCCAACCACCATGTGCTGATATCCGCTCGAGCTTGATCCAGCCTCCTCGCGGTAGTCGATCCCGCAGCTCGAATGATCTCCTTGGCATTTGATAGCAGGCTGCCGGCAAATTGCAATATTCTGCGCAGCCAAAGACGCGATGAGGGTTTTCCCTCTTGGTGGGAAGCGGTGGCTGCCGTGCTCTTGTCGTCGTCATCCGTAGGCGTTATTGCGGAGGGCTGGACATAGCAGGAGAGCTGGTACGAGTAGTATTCCTCAACGTACTGCTCATCGGACGCATCGTTCTCGAATTCCGGTAGCCGGCAGAAGGGGTTCTGTGGTAGTGTTGTTGAAGTATTCCAAGTAGTGTTTCGCGCATTTGTATGGCTCCAGTTGCTTCGTGCCGGGCAATACGAAGGCCGCTGACACACATCCATCTGGTTTGAGATTCGTCATTCCCAGCATAGGATTTTACTAGAGTTGACCGTCAGGGTTCATGTCGTTAAGCTGGGTTGACGATGGGCTGTGATGTGGAAGTCAACCCATCTTAATGCCTTGACGGCTTAATAGTGAAGGGCGAGGCGAGACTATAGACGTCCCGTTCTCAAAGACGGCAGTTCTTTGCGTGTCCAGGCATGACAGCCATTGAATCCGGTAGAAGCCTCAATAACCCTAGGCTGCTCTGAGTTCAGCAAAGGTCCTTGGGTAAGCAGGTGCTGGTAAAAGACTCACACATCATAATGCAATTTTAGTACTCAGACTAGAAGAGACGCGAACCTCAAGGAGTAAGAACATGCCTGATGATTCTGCTGCATGTTAGGTACTAGAATGAAAGAAGCGATAAAGGAGCTGTCTTAGCAAGCCTAGTTGCGAATTTGGGAAGACCCCTGTCTTTGATCTGATATGACTTTCACTTTGTCTCAGCAACACTTGTTGCTTTGAAGTCGTTTAGTAACTGGTTAAAATCCGATTTCTTTAAAGGAAAGACGGACCAAAATGGTAATTGGCAAAGAAGAGCAGATCAAGAAAGACATCAACAGTCACAAGTGTCGGGCCGGAAGAACCTATATCATCAAATTGACTCCGATGCGACGCCGAACGTAGTGATCAGGCCATTCCACTCCGCAAATCCCAGGACCCATCTCCGAGATCCCTCCAGCCACAGCATCTGTCGGCACAAAATGGATACCCCTTCGGCTATTGCGATTCTCGGATGAAGGGGCGTCCACAACAACCATCGAGCGGAAGGGAAGGGGATCCACCGTGAGGCTCAACAGACATGTCGTTTCCCTGCCCGCGGTTAACTCTCTTGAATTCCTCTCGAGATCCCAGTCGTCGTGACCGTTTGACCTTACAATACCCTTGCTACGGGAATAGCGTTCCCATGCATCTCTCCCGTTTCTTGAATGTTCTTAGCTTGCATGCTAGCGAAAGGCCCTCCCGGCGGACACTTCCCGAACCTTGCCCATATCTATTGACACTGACCAGGGTCGATGACGCGAATTTTGGTTTTTGTTCGGGATGACTCCTTGACGGGGTCTGGACTTTGGTGTTGCGGATGATGGAGATACTCGCCATTTCTTCTCGCCACTTATTCCCGGGTTTTCTCCCTCACGAAGACACCTCCAAAACTTCTGGAGACCAAATATTCTTCTCATTTTTTTTTCGGTTTCCGAGCAGAGACACCAGGCTGAACGTGTCCGCTAGCTACCGTTTGCTGATCGGCCGGATGATCGGCGCCTTACACAGCTCGCGGTCGCAGTCGCAGTCGCGAAACCGTTGACGACCTCGCAGCCACAACCGCAACCTCGCAACGACGAAGCCAGCGAAACAGTTTCAAGTAGGACACCGCTCAGGTCTTATCGCACACCCGGTAATAGAAAGATGAGGAAAAAAACTGTTGATTCCATGATGGAATAGGCTCCACATCGTATGTTGGCCGTAGGAACAACAAGGAAAAGCGGGCTCTGACATTGCGAAGACTCTCCGAACCAGTCCCGAGCCAACTTTAAGGTGAGGTGAGAAGACGTTGGAGGCGATTGGCGAAACCGCGAATGTGACTAACCCAACCAGTACGTACCCCCTTCGAACCTCACAAATCTCGCGACTAACTTGTACCTAGACCATTTTTCTCTCCTTTCCTCTCAACTTTTCACAACGCCGTCTTCTTCGAGATTTCGCTAGTCTTCCTGAACTCGAGTGAGCCTTGGACACGAGACCGAGCAACGACTGCAGTCTTATTGATAGCGGTTCCAAGGAAGCGAGACGCACATGGCATCGCACTTTGGAGGTGCGCCGGCGGCGGCAGCCAGCCCGGTGCTAGCTACTTAGGCAAGCGCCCAGTCGAAATTGTTCTTCGTACACCTCAGCCGGGGCGTCGAGCTTTTGCAAGTGTGCAAGCCGTCCACTCAGCTCAGCTTCACATGCAGGTAGGTCATGGGTATTACATCCAGGGGTCCCACAAGACCGTCTTTGACCTGGGCTCGGCCGGCCATGGTCTCGGAGGTCATTCATCGTGGGTATATAATCTCACTGGGGCCACCCTTTCCCGAGAAGTCTCCCTCCCCTTGTCTCGGTTTTCCTGTCTCCATCTCCATTTCTGTTTCCTCGCCTTCGTTCCAGAGTCTCTACGCTTTCTTGTCAAGGGGGTCACCGTTTGACCTTTACCAAGTCCAGTCGATCTCTACTTATACCCTCATACACACGCATACACATAGACCCTCTGGACTTGGTTCACTGGTCCCTTGATCCCTTCCTTCTACTTCATCTCTCAAGCTCCAACAAACACCAACATCACAATGCCTTCCGAACAAAAGCCGCTCAGCTGGTGGAAGCGCCACTGCACCCCGCCGCCAGCCATCAACCGAACTCCCCAGTGTCCATGCTCCGCCTGCTGGAACGCCAACGGCGAGCACTGGAAGACGACCGTCCCACAGACCACGGCGCCAAATTACACGTCCATCCCGAGCCAAGCAGCAGCAAAAGAGACACGGACGATGGCTCTGCGACGAGAGTCAGAATCAGACCTGACACCGCTCCGCCGCGAAGAGACTTCGTCGACGACAAACCTCAGCGTCTACTCCCAAGATAGCAACGCCAGTTCAGACCGCGCCTCTGTCACCGACGTTCACCGCCTAGCTCTGGGAAAGGAAATCGTCTAAGAGGGTAGAGAAGGGAGAGGGAAGGGGGTGATGAGGGATGGAGGGGAAAGCGAATGACAAGAACGCGAGGAAAGCTGACTACATCTGGGCTACATTTACCCCGGGAAGTGGCATCTTGGCATTGGGGGAGTCTGGACCATTCTTTCCGACAATTCCTCTTTACTTGCCCTGTGTCGCTCGAGCAAGGCCGGCCGTCCTTTCATTCAGGCAGGTTGGATCACAGCCCCTCAATCCTGCCCCCGGACGCCAAGACGCTTACTATCGTCAAGAGCATCGTTGTTCTCGCAAGCTGCACAAGCGACGGTCCAGAGCACCAGATTTAGGGTTTGAGATGCCAGATAAGGGGTCCTTGGGTCGCAGTCGTTGGACGAACTGGGAGCGACGCCGGCGGGCGTCCACCCCCTAGCTTTGTGTTAGCGGGGGTGGTGGACTGGTC